CTGTTCCTTTCCGCTATAAATTTCCGCTCATAAAACACCAGCTTTACGATATTTCAATTAACATATATGAAAAATTCTGAGAAAAGATGTAAATTTTCTGAAAAGTATTCCAATTTGCATGAAAAATGTAAGAAAATTATATAGAAATTTGGAAAAATTATAAACAAATTCTGAAAAATTATATAAAAAATTTTAATAAAAATTTTTACCAAGACATTATGTAATATTATTATATAAAATAAAAATATAATGAAAATGAAACATTTTTTATGATTTCAATAAATAATAATTATATTATATGTACAAAATCATTTATTAATCTTTGAGACAATTTAAATTAAAGTTAGTATATCGATTTTAACAGTAAACATTGAACGATAAATTTTTTAGAAATCTTTATATTTATCTATTGTAGGTTTGTACATATAATGCATAGACATTCACATGTATTGAAAGAGGGAAAGTAGCAGCAAACAAAGATGACAATGTCATAAGAAATTATTTCTATATTTATTTCAATCTATACTCTCAAACGTACTATTCAAAAATATATAGTGTGCTGGGTCCGACTATATACATTAATGACCTTTTATGCTTTCTTTCGTTCTTCTCGAATCTTTAGGATACATTTTTCTAATCGTTATTCGTTATAAGTTATGACAATACTAAAACAAAGGCACACAAGCATATCGTCTGGAATTCACTAGATATTCTTTGAACATCTGCATTAACCTCAGGTATGTATTTAATATATTGTTATGCGCGTATGTATATATTTATGAGTTAAATCTTTTCTGAAAAATACTGTTCTAAATTATGTTTTCAACACCGAAATTAACTAGAGCGATCCCGCGCATATAAGATTGTCAATTAGATTATGAATTAGAAATAAACATTAATAATTATTATAAAACTCACATTTATTTTATGTATTTTGAAATGTAGAAGTTGAATTTATATGGATCATTAAAAGAAAAATATTGGACGAATATAAAAACACTTGGGAATCAGCTTACAATTAGAAGGCTGACCAGCACTGCAAAATTGGCAAAATTTGAAGGCTGATTACAAGAATTATATAGATGTATGTCACTCTAATTTATTAAAAATGGATAAATCAAATAGTGAAAAAATCAATGAAATCACACGAAGGGATGATTATCCATTTTTACGCAAATTAGTAACAATGTTGAAAAATAATTCTGAACAACCGCCTGTTTTGCTTGAGATACAGTTTTTAAAGGAATTATCCTTGATTGACGATGTTCCCTTAATGCCATGCCAACCAAGAGTGATTATTGAAAGCATGATGAAGATTCATGCAGAATGTACGACAGCTATTTTAAAAAACCCTGATTATCTAACTAAGCTTGTTTATAAGTACAATTCTGGCGAAAATGAAGAGGAATACGTTTTTTCCAATAACATGCCGTTTTATATTGATGTCATGACAATATGTTTTTTGAGTAATATGGAAATGACTCAAGTTGATCACTTCGAGCCTGCAATGAAGGATTTAATTGCAATTATGAGAAATAAATATCATATATCTGATCCACGTAACGTTGATCCACAAATAATTACTGGAAGTAAAATAGCAATCTCTTTTCCAACTATATCTCTACATGCGCTGTATTATATCGACAATGAAATTAAATCCCCTGCTTGTAAAATATTACGTAAATGGAAACTCACTAATATCTTTTGTTTACCGTGGTTAGCTTTAATTATTCCCGTAATAAAGTCAGAGTTTAAAATTCCACTTGCATTGCTTCTTGCCATAGCTGTTGTATTAGATAGTAATAACAAACCTTCTTACGTATTGTATCAACGAATTCTTGCATTCTACACTTCCGAAATATTCCCTTTGCGTTTACAACTAGCGATTTGCAGACATTTGGGTATAATCATATATAAGGAAAAAAATAAGTATACATTTGCTCCATATTTTACTAAACTTCGTAAAAAAGCTCGAAAGCTAATATCGTCTATTAAAGTAAATGATAAAAGCATAAAATGTACGCTTTGTAAAATATAGACGTGTTTAATTATTCTCTATTGCTGAAAAAAATTAATAACACCCTGGGAAAGAATGTTTTATGTATAATAATATAAAATTATATATATTTATATAAAAAATTGACTTGCTTTATATATATATATATATATACATATAATTATATATAAAACATATCTATTTTTTCCCAGAACAACAAAGAAGTAATAATCACTTTTTTCGATTAATTAACATACTTAAGGGATAAAGATTTGTTTCAATAATTTTTGTAACAATTATTATTATATAAATTATATTAATTAAATATGTTAATTAATCGCAGCAATAATAGTTCAGAAGTGGTGATACTATCTAATAAATTTTAATCCATTTCTAAATAGTTTAGGAGTAGATTTTTTCGACGTGCCGAAGGCTTGGGTAATAACAAGCACGACGCGACATTATTATTATGAAATTAATATAATTAAGACGTTTCTCTAAAAGAATTATTTCTTTTAGTTTCATTACTTTAGTGTCAGACCTTTGTTTCTTAGGAAACAGTTTTTAATATTACGAATAATTAGAAATTCAAAACAATTGTTTTTTAAATATTGTGTTTCTTTTAAATATAAAACAAAATTTTTACTTTTTTATGGCTCCACTTATGCATAAAAAGATAATATAAAGCGATTTATATAAATCAAAAACTATATTGATATAAGAAAGTATGTACACATAAAATAAAAATTTTTTCTTAATTACAATTGCATTTTGCTTTAGTCTTATTATGCTTTAATTCTTTTTTTTTTAATTCTTTAAGGAGGAGCAATTTATTACAAGAAAATGTATATGATGTCTATTAAAAAAATAATATTAACATAGAAAACATACACATATATATACTTTAATTAGCTTGTTAAATAAAATTTTAAATAATATCTTTTACTTTAAAAGTTTTTTAGTTGAAAGT